ATTGTTGTGTGGCAGACAAATGGCATTAGTGTGTGAGAAGCTTACATTATCTTCAGATGATTTAAGCTTACAACAATCAACAATAAAATAACCTACATTACTGAAATTTAGATAAGGTAATTATACTCAATTCTACACAATAAATTAAGTAAACTTTTGCAGCTGATGCTGTTCCTTAGGGTAGAAAAGGCCTTGAAAAAGAATAGTTTACATTATTAGTCTTGGCCATCCACACTCGAAGAAAACTTTGGTCCCACAAGGGCAGAAAAAGCTTAAATATTTGTAACTTCTCATGTACTGTTTTTTGTTAAAATGGAGAAAATCAGGAAAGGAAGTGATATATGAAAAGAAAAGAGGGGGTCACCAACCATTTGAGAGAGTAAACTGCAGGTGAAATTAATGCAATGGCACCAAGCCCTATACGTGGTTATAGCGGAGCTCCGGTGGCCTGAAGTGCCATCAAGCGGAGCCCCATACCCATAAAGGAAAGAAAAGGAAACCAATGATTGGATTTTCCCATGGTTATCATGGCTAGCGGTATTGCTCAGGGGTGCGTACGAACAACGACGACGGAGTCGTGCAAGATGGTGACCATACTCCAGCTAATATGTTGACAGAGACATGCACCCTCGGTTTGTAGTGTCCCTCTTTGATTTTGGACATTCATGTTATGGTCAATTGACACCTGCCAAAACAAGGTATCTGCTGACCAGTATCATGTGACCATATGGTGGGCTCAAGTTTAGAGCTCATCAAGATCACTTGCTTTTTTGCAGTTGACGGCTGACCAAGTGCTTGTTTTTGATTGGATCGCAGGCTCTTGTCAGGCTAACTTGTTGTAAACAGGGCCAGGTTTTTTGGAAGCCAGTTAATGCTAACCCAGGGTTATGAAAGTTAACTGAAGTGTAAATTTTTCTTCATATGTATACAAATGTTTTTAACTGCTTTTGGTTTGTGAAGAAGGCCAAACAACATAAACAGAAAACCTTACCGTAAAGTTACAAAACTCAAGTCAAAATTCTTGCTTATCATGAGTTATCTTAATCAGGCTTTGAACAACCCAACCCAGGAGCTCCGCTTTTAGGCTTGACTAAATCTATATATTATTTAATATACCTTCTATGAAACTTGTGAGTCTACAGAAACTGGCAGCATCACGCAACGTATCAGCCAATCCTGACCTCTTCACTAGCATGGACTTTGGACCTTGGTTGCTGCTGAAAAATCTTGATTTTAGCAATAGACAAAGGTTGAAAGTCAGCTAGTGAAATCATTATTTTATTTAAGGTATATATATAGTTTGAGCACTCTGGTAATGGCTTAGATACTGCCACATGTGTAGTATTTGGGGCGGCTTTTTAAGCTTAGCCTCCATCCTAGTCTTCAGCACTGCACTGATGNCTAGCTCGCTAGTTTGAGCACTCTGGTAATGGCTTAGATACTGCCACATGTGTAGTATTTGGGGTGGTGTGAGGGTAAGTGAGGGTGTCAAACACACTCTCATAATCTCTGATTACTACTAGTTTAATATTTCTTTAGCATGGGTTCTTGATGCATGGTGAGGGGTGTTGTTGAATTGCATGATTGTGCAGTAAGGATGCACAGAAAAAATGGCTGGAACATCCTTAAGTGGCATTTTTATTCTGTCAGGTGTGCAGTGTGTTTGAGTGCGTGTGCTTATACAGTATGAAATGTAGAATGCTTGACGTAGAACATGAATCATCACAGTAATAGTCGGTCTGTATGGAAGAATCTTGACCTCGGTCGTGTGTACAGACCTCGCTCAAGATTCTCCCATACAGACCTCCTGGCCGGTTAATAAGAGCTAAATACAAAGTAAACAAAAATTTAATTAAAACAAGTGTGAATTTTTTATTGCCAATCCATTTGAGCCCAGGAGGGTTAATGTAGCAGCTTTAATTTAAATTAACTATCAAACTGCTGAGCCACTTGAGCTGGACTGCTGAGCTACAAGAGTTTTACTGAGGTACATTGTACTGGACCACTCAAATAACAAACATAACTTCTCAAGTGGCCCTATCAGCAAATCTTGATTTACAATAATTCTTTTATGGAACAAAAGGGCTTCAGTCTCTGTTTTAGCCTGCATTGCAGACTGAAATTTCCCTGTAAATAACCAACGCTAGTAACCGGCGGATTCTCCAATTCAGAAATACTTGTAATAGTTCTCACAAAAAGTATGTGATAATTTGTTTCTTTTCATTGGTCTGAAATAAGTTTAATTTTCACCAGTAGAAAAAAAAATTATAATGTACAAGTTTTAACCAGCAAATAACTTAATACAGAGTTATATAAAGTTAGTTTAGGTGTTTATTTTATACTTATGCATAGGTTGAAGCTCTCTTGACAAGCTCTAGTTACTACATGTCCCACCACTGTGCACTGTGTTTAAATTGCCCCTCAAACACACCAATTGATATTTAAACCTCCCTTAGCAACCGCCACCACTTTTGGGAATTAGCAACTAGTCTTTCCTTCACCTCTAAGGGGGCTCTCGTTCTGATTAGTATTGGGCAACATGTCAATAAAAGTATACGTCTACTTAATCACAATTCACCATAATATTACATTGCCTGCATCTAGGTAGAAAGTCTTCTGCTAAAAGCTTTGGTAAGGGGCCGGCTTCTTTTATTTCAGCATTTTATGGCCTTTAAGATAGCTCAGTAAATGACCAGTGCTAGTTATGACCACTTATCAGATTGCTGAGCTGATTGCCTTCAAGACACATTTTTACCTTAAACAGTTCAAGTTCTTCAAAACATCAGAAACACTGACATCTATCATACTTCTTATTTCTCAATGAGCTTTAAATAAATTTTAAGTGAACTGACTTAAACATAAATTTCTTTTCAGTACCTGTTTTACCAAGTTGCTGGAGTCTGGGTATGTAGAAATGGATTTCTTTTGTAATTTTTTTTGTACTGCTTGATAGACAATGACATGCTTCTGGACCAGCATGTAAAAATGTTTTTTCTTCTTCACAGGGGATATGCTTGCCCTATATGTAACAGGTCTATGGTTGACATGTCTCGTATGTGGCGACAATTGGATCAGGAGATATCACGTACACCAATGCCAGCAGACTACAACGACTTCAATGTGACGGTTAGGACTTTTGTTTTATTTTTTTCTTTACAACTGTTTTTTGATTGAAACTTTTATAAATTTTTTTTTTTGCTTTGAAACTTTCAATATTGGTTTACATACATGTATTATACAGTATGGAAATGAAATATGCAAGTTGAACAATACTGTTATTTAACATTGATAATGATATATCAGATACCAGCATGATAGTACATGCAGGTAGTATTTCAGTCTCCCACTTTTTCAGTGAAATCATTCTTAAAACAGTATGAAGATAGCCATTGATGCACCTGTTTTGAGATCATCATTAGGAAGAGGGGACGCCTTGCACTCTGAGATAGCAAGTACACTAATCATTTCCTTAATATTGATTTCCCAAACCTAAATTGAGATATCTAGAATTTTCTCATGCTCTGAAATTCTCTTTATGAGGTTGAACAAAACACCAGGACCTGATACAATTAGCATCACACAATCACAAATTTTAATATTTATACTGAAATCAAACTGTAAACAGTATAGTTTGCATGCAAAACAAGTGCAAGAGACACAAAAATCTGACTTACTTGGGAAGCTAAGTGACAGGAAAAATGTAACAGACACCAAAAACAATTTCAAAAAAGATGAAACAAATCAATGACATTTAACTCTAGAAAACACATGGTTACCCCTACTTTTTAACATGGAAAATCAATCTGCAAGTTTCACTCCACCCTTTCTTCCTTCCTTTGATTCCTGTAAACTTTTTCTGTGACCAAATCCACTGACCAATGTATAAAGCTTTCGCAGTCATAGCGAAGTTCAAGTTATATCCGACCTGAAGGTGAAACAATTTCCTTACGGAATGATTAATTTTAATTTTTATTAGCAATTTTCCCATTTTTCTAATATCTTAATGCAGAAATGATCTACATTGAATAGATTTTCGCACAAACGTTGTTTTATACAGAAGCTTGTTATATAAATAGCTCATTTCCCGAAGGTGTCCACTTAATACAGGTTTAACTATAGTCGATTGCCGAAAAAAAAAAGATATGAAAATTACAAAATTGATGAGCTGTATGTATTTTCAAATGATTCAAGCCGTGATTAAAATTTTTTGACGATCATCAGACAAGAGAATCGAGGAGAATTTGTACAGCACGTTTCACTACTATTTATGCAGTATCGTAAATAAATTAATACAGCCAATGGGGAAATGATATGAACAAATAGTTGATAAATAGAAGAAAAGACATTACTCAAGGCTGGGAGTTCTGCAGTCACTGATATTGCCTTGGAAAGGGAAGGGAAAAAAGAAAAGAGAAAAAGAAGTTATTGCAACACAGGGTATTCGTATTTGGTCACCCAGACAAGTAGGAACCCCGCTGAACGGTTTAACTTTGTTGAGCAGACGAGATGTGGTTGTGATTTGATTCATGACTCTACGCTGGATGCAGTTTTTTGATTTCTAAAATCTCTCAAAAGGTAACAAAGAAAGAAAAAAATCACTTATATTGGCTGGGAAAATGAAGAAAGGNATGGCTTTGTAATATGCTATCCGATCTTTCAGAGGAAGAAATCTCTTAATTCTACTCAGAACAGCAATGCGCTGAGAGAGCTTATTACAGAGGTCATGGGTATGAGCATCAAAGGATAGCTTGCAGTCAAATGGCTCCCAGCACTTTTTATGAATGCACTTGTTCAAGATCAGAAATGTAAAATTTGCCCGCTTGTTTACAGAAAAATGTTCACAGATGAGTACTATTCATCTTGCTATTTTCCTCAGATGGGCAGTATGGGCAGATAGTGTCTCTCCACCAATGAACACTATTGCATCAAGTGATCAATTTAAGCCAGTAAGAATCAGAGAAAATTTAGTGGTTAATTATAAATGACACATAGCAACCATCAGTTCTCTTTTTTTCTGTAGATTCTTTGTCGAGATTGTCACAAGGTAACTTAATACATACTAGTTATGGTATACCATGGAATATCCCACAAGACACTTGTATTTTCTCGGTATACGTGCATGACCCTTTAGATGAGTCTGTATACCATGAAAATACAAGTGACAAGTGGGATATTTCATGGTATACCACAAGAGAATGTTGCATAACTATTTTATACCATGCAGTAGAACATACAGTGGCCAACACAGTCAATGCGACATATGCAAGGCACTTGATGGAAAGGTTGGATGTAATACCATCCAATATACAAACTCTTTCCTGTATTCTGATTCTTGGCTGTATTTTCCATGGCATGGTATAAATAAAGATAGACGGTGTACTGTTGATTGCAGTTTTATTTGCCACGATCAAAATTACATGTACACTGTACCACAGCAATCAGTAAACCATGAAAAAAAGAAACAAACAAACAAAGTCAGAAAATTTTTTATTCTGTAAAAGTGAACTTCTGTTTCCTAAGAGGTCTGTTAACATGGTTGATGGTGGTAGGAAATGCAATGGTCAGTTGAGATTTGAAAACTTTTCAGCGTTTGCATTATTTTCAAAAGTACAATAAAGTGGTCAATACTGACGCAGCTAATTAAATTTACTGATGGAAAGATGCTATTAATGAAAATTGTATCAACTGTTTCCAAAAGCCATGGAGTGTTCAGTAGTCCAGTTCTCATTTCCTTTAAGTTTATGAATGAGAAAAAACAAAAATAAATGAAAACAAGCCTAGAGAGCACAAGACAAACTAATTGTCGTGTTTGTAAAATTTGATAACAAGCATTTAAAAAGCATTTAAAACCATCATCATTTCTTGTAGGAAAGTAAGGTCAGATTTCATATTCTTGGACTGAAGTGTATGGAGTGTGGGTCATATAACACCAGTAAAGAAGGTGAAGAGGGAATTCCTATGGTGCTGAGACCTCAGGCTGATGTTCAACAACCTGATGAGGGAGATGGCTGGGAAACTGAAGAAGAAGAAGAAATTCTGGGAGGAGAGGAAGCCAATGAAACAAATGAAGATCAGCCAAACATCCAAGAGGCAGTGGATAATTTTGAAGGGCTGAATGTATCAGAAGTTGTGTTGAATATAGATGGGGAGAATAACAATGTTCTTCCCTTGGACTGAGAGTGTGTGAACTATATGACTTAATTGCACTTTTTCCACACTTGTATCAGGCAAATACCTGGTAGCCTTAACACCCTTTCACCCTTGCAATCCTTTTTTGTAAACTTGAGCTTCAAATTGAGAGCGTCTTCAGTTGGTGTTTTTAGTAAAGTGTTGTGTTGCACCATTGATAGTGTCTTCTTTGAATTGAAGGATGTTGCCTGAAGAAAAAATAATCACATGTATCTGCCAACGAATCCAAACATTTAAAAAAAAAATTACTAGACCGTTCCTAGTCCGGACATACGTTATTGGATATAGCACAGCAAAATTTCATTTTCTTTTTCTAGTTTCAACATAAAATTATATACACAATTTCATACAGGATAGAACATTAAGGTCCCCATGAACTGTTTCTACTTTTTCACGTGAATCTACACATTGCCCAAAGGACTTCACTTGCTTCTGCGGAAAAAAATATTTTGATTTGAACAAAACGTAATATTGACATTAATTTTCAAAGCATTTGAAATTTCCTGCCATTTGGGGTAACTGTTCATTTCTGTCATCTCTCAGTTCTTTTCCATAACAAAGGGATTGTGATGATGATTAAGGAACAGTGTGTCTTCGAACTAAACGTAAACACATTGTGGACGAGGGAAACATCTTCAAGTTTTTTCTTTGAGTTTATTTTCCAAAAATTATGCGGGAAATAAGTGCCAGAAAGATACGTTGCAAGGACAAGATGCAACCACGTACAATTTTCCTTTGTTTTGTAAATGCTATGGCATGGTTAATACTCGGTATTTGTGGTGCTTCACTACTTCCAGCCATTTCATGACAACCTTCTTTCAAGCAAAAGTTGCTGTAAGAAATAGAACATTATTTTTCTCTTCAAATTGTATATTTCTGATCAATTCCATTTAATAGAAAGTGACCATACAAGTTCAAGAAAGTATTGGATAACCTTTCTACATAAAACACAATTTTTAATTAGCTTCTGAGGTTAATGGCTCATTGTTGGACAATCAAATAACTCAAAAGAACCAAAACGTAAACACAAACCTTTGTTTGAAACTTAGTCCTCGATAATAATTGCAATGGTATATCATAATAACTCTTTATATACAGTAATATGTGTAATTTTTTCACATTTTGATTGGTTCTTATTAACTAGTAATTGGAGGACAGATGCAGTTGACATCATAAACCATGATGCCATTTTTTGTATCTTTATTATAAAACAAATACAATCCATGTTTCCATGCGGAATGTACATTAGTGACAGGAGTAAACTGGTATGATCTTACCGTGGTAGAATTATAAGTAGGGCAAGTAATCCAATTATGTTGTATTGTAAGCAGTGTAAGTATTAGTATTGTTAGTAGCGTGAGTATGCGTATTATATAAAGTAAGTGTTAGTATCGTAAGTGGCGTAAGTAATAAGTTTTTTGTAAGTAGTGTAAGTAACTACATTAATATTGTATTGTAAGCAGTGTAAGTAGCTATTAATTAAAAAAATAAATGAATAAAAATTAATAAAAAAAAATGTTTCCATGCGTGTGTTCAGTATTTTACAATAACCACGGAAATTCTTGCACACTCATTGGCTAATTTTCATTGTCAATAAGCAGACAGACACATGAATTTATAATTTATGCGATGTTAATGCAATGGACAAGAGTGGACAATTTGACAATTTGCTATTGTAAAAAACAAATTGACGTCAGCTTTTCATGTGTCTGTCCTGTTATTGACAATGAATTTAATCATAACATCACCAAAGTAGGCTGCGGGTCCGCTCAGCAATCCACAGGTACTTTGACAATGCCCTGATGAAATTCATGATCAATAACAGGACAGATGCGTGAGAAACTGACGTCAGTTTTTTGCAGTAAGAACATCAGTGACAAACTTGGTATGGCCTCCTGTGCCACATTTTTGTTATTACCACATTTGGATGTCATTTGTAATTACTGAACAGATGGATGGCCATGTGAAATCTGTTTGATAGGTAATAGTAATTGGACCAAGTGGAGTACAATTCAGGGAGTAATCGCGCAAGCAATTTCAAAATGGGACGAGTGCGAGGCCAATTTGAAATTACAAGCACGATTTCTCCCTGGACTGTACTACACGAGGTCCAATTGTTAATTAATTGTATCTATAACAAATTTCGGAGTTAAAAATGTCTTTTGAAAACTTCTTTAGAGAGAGAACGTCTGTAGCGCTTTTCATAAGTTTTGAAAATTGTAGGAAACATTGCGAAGGAAGCCATTAAAGTGCGCGTAATTGACATGCGAATCACGTGGATATCCAATTACAGGTATGCTATTACAAACAGTTCAAATTGGATACCTGAACACCCATGTGATCGCGCGCTAATTACGTGATAAATAGGCGTGAAGAGAACCAATCATGACAGAGAATTTTGTTATATATATGATAAATAACTAAATAGCCTGTCCGTGGTGAAACGGTGCATTCAGATGCCAGAAAGTTCCAAATGTTGCAATAGCTAAATTTTGCATTTTTGGTGCTCCAAAAATACATTATCATCATCATTATTATTATTATTATTATTATTATTATTATTATTATTATTATTACCGTTATCAAAACTACAACAAAATTCATGAATCTGATTGGCTATCAACAGGCTTAATTTTTTCCCAGATAGGACAGTGTATGCGTCATGCTAACATCATTCTGCATGCTCTTTCCTCGACAAATGTACTTGAATAGATTCCTTTTCCTGTGTGTCTTCGTCTAAACGCACTCACCTGTTAAAATTTTTAATTTTTATTAACACTTTTAACCAATGGTTATGGTCATCAAATCTTGTTAGAGTTTTGATTAATTGGTAACAGGGCTTCATGGTGTACATTTGTCTGTAATCATACTCATACTAAAACAAGTTGGACTCCTCCTATGCTATGCCTGATTTTGTTAATCACTTGTATGATTACAGACCGAATTGGACAATGCAACCATTAGTTATTTTGTGAAGTTTGCTAATAGTAGGAGGAGGAAAGTATTTAATACTCTGAAATGAAAGCATCAAAGTTTGTTGTCCTTTATAAATAGCTTTAAGTGAGTAGTGTTATCAAAGTTTGCAGCAAGAAAACAGCTGTGTGCAAAATAGTTTCAACATCCTTTATTTCTCACAAACAACTTCTCAAAGTCTTTATTTATGAAAGAACATCAATGTATAATTTAGCAAATACTGTGATATCAAACAGGGGCGTAACTCCCTTTAAGCCCGTAAGCTCGGGCTTACAAACTTTTCTCCTTATATTTATTTTTTCTGGGAATATTTCTTTTTTATTTCATATAACTAGTTTTCTGGGTGACTTTGTTTTTAAGTCCTCGTGTCCCTAACCTTCTTTTCGGGTTTCTTTCCCACGTCTTGAGTTCTATGCTTAGATTACACTGATAAATGCAACGCTTGCACCCGTGGTTGCGGGTTTTGTTAAAAGTTTTCACTGTTTTATCTAATTTGCGAAGCAATGCTTTGGTATACATGCGATCTGACCGACAAGAAAGAGTACGAGAACGAGATGTTGCGATGGAAAACAAAGTGACTGCATTCCAGGCATTCAACTGGAAAATAACCAGCAACTCTGGCTGACACTCGACTGCATAAATACAACTCTTTATCGAAACGTTAACACCATCCTCACGATCCTTCTCACGATCCCTGTGTCAACTGCAACTCCTGAGCGCAGTTTTAGCCCGATGCATAGAGACTAATCTACGGGCAACCATGAGGACAGAGCGACTCTCGGCCCTTGCTCTAATGCACGCGTACAAGGACACGGCCATTGACGGGGAGGCCGTGGCTCGTGAGTTTTGCGGTAAGAAGAAAAGGATGCTAAACTCTGGATTCCCATAAAACTTGACTTGAGATACTTAGCTCGGCATTCAGTCCAGTAGTACTGTGTTGTACAGTACAATTCGTCATAGTTTCAAATCAGATCTCGTTTAGTTGCTGAGAATTCATGACGTGAGGATATTTTTCCGGCGGGGGGGGAGGGGTACTCCTGGTAAAATTTGGTAGGGGTGTGCGGCTCGGTTTCCAACACCCTTACCCTGTTGATGACCAAAATCTGCGATTTTCAATACCCTATTTATGACCTGATCCTAAATCAATACCCTGTTTCAGAACTTCCTTATACTTAGTTCCCTAGTTCAGACCGACGTTAAAGGCATCGTGAAGGGCTTTTTTGTTGATCGGTCTTATCGATAATGACTGATAATGATGAAGAATTAGCTTCTTCTAAAATAAACTTACTCAATCAAGACTAGAATGCAAAAATTGTTACCCTATTTATGACCAACACGGCTGAAAAACCCTATCCTTTGGGGCCGCACATACCTATATAGCCCATATAAGGGAGTACCCCCGGGTGGGGATATTTTGTAATGATGCCTTATAGGCCACCTTGAGTTGTAATAAAGCATGAGTTAAATAGGCCTACTTGACTACCCCCACCTTCCCCGGCCGCACTACTCTTACGAGGTATAGAACGGGCTTACAAGCCATAAATGGCTAGCTACGCCCCTGTCACTCCATCTGAAGATATCCAGGTCGCTTTATGAACCCTCTTATGCGGAAAGAGAGTTCCACCAATACTTAGACCATTTAATGGGAGAAATAGTCCTCTGTAATTACAGTATTACACTTTTCAAGCCTTTTTTTAATGCTCTGATTTTGTTTAGTTAGTAATGTTGCTTTCGATAGCATGCAAACTCTGCTCAAATGATGGTAGTGCAGTTTTTTGCTGTTGAACCTCTCAGGAAACAAATGTTGACTTCAACAGCTTCAAAGGGCGAGAATGAAGCGAAGCCCGCGGATGAAGTTGTTCTCTCCGAAACTCAGAACCTGGATAGGACAATGGAATGTGCGAACCCTATACGAGTCTGGAAAGTTGGCGCAACTGGCCGCAGAAATAAGGCGTTATAGGTTGGAAATCTTGGGAGTCAGCGAAGCTAGATGGAATCAATTTGGGGAAACCGAGCTGGCAAAGGGAGAGCTTTTCATATACTCAGGGAACGAGAGCAAGTATGACGTCCATGAGAGAGGGGTCGGCATCATGTTATCAGGGCTGCGAAGAAATGCCTGATGGAATGGGAACCAATAGATGATCGCATTATTGCAGCCAGAATTAACGCCAAAATCCAAAAGATCACCATCATACAGTGCTATGCTCCCACGAACAACGCTGAGCCATATGAGAAAGAGGAATTTTATAACAAACTGCAGGCGGTGGTCAACAACGCTCCGAATAGAGATATCCTCATCGTGATGGGTGACTTTAATGCCACGGTCGGACGGAATAATGCTAGCATTGAGAGGATCATTGGAAAGGAAGGACTCGGAGATGTGAATGAATATGGCGAAGAGTTGGTGGATTTGTGTGAATTAAATCGTCAAAGTATTAGTGGAACTCTCTTTCTGCATAAGAGGGTTCATAAAGCGACCTGGATATCTCCAGATGGAGTGACTGAAAACCAAATCGATCATATTCTTATAAGCCAGCGATGGAGAACATCACTGCATGTGCGTGTGAAGAAAGGAGCCAATATTGGGTCTGACCATCACCTTGTTGTGGCTTCTCTGAAGATCAAGCTGGCTGCAAGAAAGCCGTTCATAAGTACAAGAAGGACTTTTGATGTCATGAAATTGAGAGACCCTGACACAAAACAGGCCTTTAAAATTGAGTCGCAAAACCGGTTTGAATCCCTATTCCTTCAACAACAACAACAACAACAACAACAACAAGAAGCAGCAGTAGCAGCAGCAGCAGCAGTAGCAGTAGCAGCAGTAGTAGTCGTAGTAGTCGTAGTAGTCGTAGTAGTAGTCGTGGTCGCGGTCGCGGTCGCGGTCGCGGTCGCGGTCGCGGTCGCGGTCGCGGTCGCGGTCGCGGTCGCGGTCGCGGTAGCGGTAGTGGTAGTGGTAGTGGTAGTAGTAGTAGTAGTAGTAGTGAGGATTGTAAGCAGGGATGGAGGTGAGCAGGCCCAAGATATTGATATCAACGTACAGTGGGAGAAAGCCAAGAAGATACTTGTTGACACATGTGGGAGTGTTCTCGGACGTATGAAAAGGACCCGGAAGGAGTGGCTGTCTGACGAGACATACAGGAAGATTGAAGAAAGACGGAAGGCCAACCAGATAATGAATGACGTTCGAAGGAGACAATGGAAACGTGAAGCAAATAGATACTACAACGAGAAGAATAGAGAGGTTAAGAAATCTTGCCGAAGAGACAAAAGGAACCTACTTGAGAGCATTGCACGAGAGGCAGAAGACGCGGCTACGAATAATGATCTGAGAACCCTATGTATGACAACACGGAAACTTAGCGGGATAAGATGCAATCAGAATCGCCCAATTAGAAGTGAAGATGAAACTCTCTTGACGAAAATGGAAGACCAGCTTCAGCGATGGAAGAGGCATTTTGAATCCGTATTGAACAGACCAGCCCCAAGCCAAATACCAGATCCCCGACTTGTATAGGTTCCCCTGAGCATCGACACAGGACCTATTTCCAGAGGAGAAATTAGAACAGCCCTTACTCAACTGAAGAGTGCCAAAGCTCCAGGGGTGGATAACATCCCTCCTGAAGCATTGAAGGAGGAAGGGCCTTGTACTGTGGAAGCACTGCATAGAGTTTTAAATTTCGTATGGGAGAATGAAGAGATTCCAGACGACTGGAAGAGAGGTCTTTAGTAAAGCTGGCAAAAAAGGCGACCTTAGTTTGTTTGTAACTGGAGGGGAATAATATTGCTCTCAATACCCAGCAAAGTCTTAACCCAGGTCATATTGAACTGAATGAAGGTGGCCGTTGACGAAGCCCTGGGAGACGAGCAGGCGGGACTTAGAAAGGATCGCTCCTGCACCGATCAATTGCCACACTGAGGATTATTGTAGAACAACCAATTGAATGGTCATCCCCCTGTACTGGTTATTCGTGGATTTTGAGAAAGCCTTTGATTCTCTGGATAGGGAGGCTACGCGGAGGATTCTTCGTCGTAACGGTATACCTAATAAAATCGTCAACATGAAGGTTCAGTATCAGGGCTTTACTTGCCAAGTACCTCATGGAGGAACTATGACCGAGCCCATCGAGATCAAGACCGGTGTGAGACAGGGATGCCTTCTTTCGCCGTTGCTGTTCCTTGTGGTACTTGACTGGATGTCGAAGAACCCATATGAGGGTAAGCGTTTGGATCTCCAGTGGTCACTGACCCAACGCCTAGAAGACTTGGACTATGCTGACGATCTTTGCTTACTAACACACCGACTCAGGCTGATATAAAAGTGAAAGGAGAAAGATTACAAGAGACTGGTGGTCAGGTAGGTCTCAAGATCAACATCCAGAAAACAAAGGAGATGCGAATTGGCGTAAGGCACCAAGAATCATTGGAACTTCATGGCGAAGCTGTTGAAAGAGTGTCCGAGTTCACGTATTTGGGAAGCATCATCAATGAAACTGGCGGAACTGACGAGGACATAACAGCCAGGATAAGGAAAGCGCAATCGACATTCTCGATGCTTATGCCTGTGTGGATGGAAAAATGTATCAAATTGCAAACAAAGCTCAGGATTTTCATTACGAACGTGTGGTCCGTCGGACGAAAACTGCCAAAAATACCCTTGACTCTGATTTCCCGTGAATCGTACAAATAAAAATTTTATTCGACCTGAAATAAACTCAACAAATGATACACTTAAACAATAGCAACTATGTATGTATGTATGTATGTATG